CACACACACATGCATGGAACTATTTGTTCTACTTGTTGCACCTCGTCTAATTTGAATAGTTATGAAAAGTGGACAAACGAGAATTTACATTTTAATAGAACTTCTAATTAATTAATTGTTGAGTTTTTTTTTTTTATGATATTGATTGTTTACAGGTGCAAAACCGTACTATAACGAGACTGTGCCGCAGACAAGTGATCACTGCTGTAAATGGAAGTCTTCCTGGTCCAACCATACGTGTAAACGAAGGGGACACCCTTGTTGTTCATGTCTTCAACCTTTCACCTTATAATCTCACTATTCATTGGTAAGTCCTTCAATATTTTAATAGGAAAAAAAAATAAACACGTAGTTTGTTAAAAAAAAAAAATTGAGAGAAAGAAATCAAACAAATAAAACCAACCACTTCTTTTTTGTTTTGTTTTTTGGTTTCATAATGTTACACTCGTGTAAAGTAGTTGATTTTCGTGTCTAAACAATCACAAAAATGCTATTACGTTAACATAAAAAAGTCGATTCAAATATTCAATAATAGTAGTATAATATATAGATAGTCAGTGATCTTTATTTAATATATCTATGGAAACTATCGCTATCAGCACTATCACCCTCCAATTAGTTAAAGAAAAAGAGTTTAACAAAAATAGTAAAAGCAAAGGGAGTTGAACTTAGATAATCTCATTTCATATTCATGGAATGACGTGATTAATAAAAACTAATTAATGCAGGCATGGAGTTTTTCAGCTACTGAGTGGGTGGGCTGATGGACCCGAATTTGCGACCCAGTGCCCGATCCGACCCGGACATAGCTACACCTACAAGTTTAACGTAACGGGTCAAGAAGGGACTCTTTGGTGGCATGCACATGTTTCATGGCTTAGAGCCACGGTTCATGGTGCACTCATTATTCGACCCAAAAAAGGAAACTCTTATCATTTCCCTAAACCTTACAGAGAAGTCCCTATCCTCTTAGGTAATTTCACCTTCTTCAAATTAATTCTTCAATTTCTTAGTATTTTATAGAAATATGAGACTAGAAATATTTATAACTATGAGTTTACAATTTCTTTTTGTTTAAAAGTACTTCATTTGGAATAAAGTTGAAAAATGATATTTGGAATTTGAAATTATATTTGAACATGCATTTCACTTTTTGAAAAGATATTGTAGTTTTGTGAGTGGGAAAAAATAGTTTTTCCGAAATTCTTTTTTTTTTTTGAAAAACTAATTTCCAAAAAATCTCCAAAAACATACAAAATTTTATGGACAAACGAGTCCTTAGTAATTCTTTTGTTCCACTTTATGTGATGCAATTACCATTTGGAGTGTCAAAGAAATTTTTCTTTGACCACTTATTTTTGTATCGGTTAAATATTTTAAATTGTTAATTATTGTGATTCATAGTACTTTTTAAGTAGTTTCTAAATATGTGAATTTTATTTATTTTTTTAAAAAAACTTAAAGATTATGAATTTTCACCGAAATTTAGATATGATTGACTTTTGCATTCTGAATCGCATCACGTAAAGTGGGACGGATGGAATAGTAAGTAGTAACTCATAGAGATATTTTTGCTAATGTATTGAGCTACGTACTGCTACAAGAATTGACAAATATATGGAGTGAAATTTACCTATAGATAAAACTAGCAAATGAAGAAGTATGTTGATTTGTTAATGCAGGAGAATGGTGGAATGCCAATGTTGTGGACGTGGAGAATGAAGGACTAGCCAGTGGTGCTGCACCTAATAACTCTGATGCTTACACCATTAATGGATGGCCAGGCGATCTTTACCCTTGCTCTGTTAATCGTAAGAATTACATACTAATCAGATTTTCTTAATTAATTTGTGATTTTTTTCTATTTTCTCTTCTTGCTAACTTGGATTTTCCGTTTTTTATTTTTATTAGAAACATACAAGTTGACAGTGAAACAAGGGAAAACATATCTCCTTCGTATCATCAATGCTGCACTCAATAACCAGCTCTTTTTTAAGATCGCAAACCATAAAATGAAAGTTGTCGCGGTTGATGCTGCTTATACTGATCCTTACATTACGGACGTAGTCGTCACCGGACCAGGTCAGACGACCGACGTCCTCTTGACGGCCGATCAAGCGCCGGCGTCGTACTACATGGCGGCTAACCCCTACGCTAGTGCAGCCGGGGTACCATTTGACAACACAACCACAAGAGGAATTATAATATATGAAGGTGCACAAACATCAAATCCAATAATGCCAATTTTACCAGCCTTTAATGACACGCCAACAGCCCATAAATTCTTCACCAATATAACTGGGCTTGTAACTGGGCCATTTTGGATCCCTCCACCTCGTAAAGTGGATGAGCACATGTTTATTACTATTGGGCTGGGCCTAACTGCTTGTAATAGACCAGGAAATGCAACATGTGGAGGCCCAAATGGACAAAGATTTGCTGCTAGTATGAACAATGCATCTTTCCAATTGCCTGACAAGATTTCAATGTTGGAGGCATTTTTCCACAACGTGAATGGAGTTTACACTACTGATTTCCCTAACCAACCACCACTGAAATTTGACTACACAAATTCTAATAATAGCATGAATCCTGCTATTATAATGACTACAAAGTCTACTAAAGTGAAGAAAGTTAAGTTCAATGCCACAGTTGAGATTGTGTTCCAAAATACTGCTTTGATTGGGATAGAAAATCATCCTATTCATCTGCATGGATTTAACTTCTATGTCTTGGCTCAAGGATTTGGAAATTATAATCCCGCAGTTGATCGGAAAAAATTTAACCTTTTCAATCCTCAAGAACGTAACACAATTGGTGTTCCAGTCGGAGGATGGGCTGTCATTAGATTCCGAGCTAATAATCCAGGTACATATATAATGCATTCATTAACTTGATATTGAAATTATATTCTTGAATCGATGGTCTATCAGAAATATCATCTCTACCGACACCAGGTAGACCCCACTTATAGGATCATATTGACTATCTTGTTGATTTTTTAGGTGATGATTGATTGTTTTAATTGTTAATTTGGAAATTGTAGGTGTATGGTTGATGCATTGTCATTTGGATGTTCACTTGCCTTGGGGATTAGCTACATCTTTTGTTGTTGAAAATGGGCCAACACCATCAACTAGGCTACCTCCTCCACCACCAGATCTACCTAAATGCTAGATTATTTCCTTTTTATTTATTTTTATTAGGATACCAGAGTGTGATTATATGATTCTTGGTTTGTTTCATTCTTCCAATTGTATAAGCGAGTCATTTGTTTTTCTGGTCATTCTTTGACTTGTTAAACAAACATGGTTGTATTTAGTTATCATCATTCTTTAAGATTTATGTTAAGTGTAATGTATCATCCTTGCCTGAGATTGCTCTTTGATTATGAATAAAGTTACTGTCTTTGGGATTCCTGCTAAACTCGAAGTAGTTAAATTGCTTTCAACTCTCTTTTATACATTTCATTGCCAGATAAACGAAAGCCTTGATGTAACTGGTAAAGTTGCTGCTATGTGACCAAGAGGTCACGGGCTCGAGCCGTGAAAACAGCCACTTGCAGAAATGCAGGATAAGGGTACGTACAATAGACCCTTGTGATCCGGCCTTCCCCGGACACCGCGCATAGCGGGAGCTTAGTGCACCGGGCTGCCGTTTTTATTGCCAAACAAAGGGAAGCTTCGATTTTCTATAGATAAAACTTGGGTGCAGACTAGCAAAAACAGCAGTAGCAAGACTGCATTGTAGTAGTCCACTAAGTATAATTTCACATCAGAATCCAAAATCCAAATCAGCTACTAATTCCACTTCCAATAGGATATGATCATAGAAATTGAATTTCATCTAGGGCCATCGTGCAACATTATTATACTTAAAGAAGTTCTTTTGACATGTGATGATTTCAAAATAAAAGAGGAGAATGAGCTGCCTCTCGAATTCAGAGAAATTTTCTCAAAAACCCATTTTGGAGCCAACTCTTATCCATTTCTACCTTTTTTTCCTTCTCTATACGAACTACAGATTTCAGAGGTGGTCCTTTCAATATGAAATTAATTGAAGGATTCAACAAGGCCACAGGCACCTCAAATTCATCTGTCTTTTACACATAAGAGATCTAAAAAGGTCATTTTCTTTATTTTAAAACTGTAAAGGGGCATTATGTACAAATAGCACACTTAGGAGCATGAACGTGCAAAATTTAATAACCCCTCATGCTTCCTTCTCCTTATTCAAGAATGCAACTCCCCAAAGAAAAACAATCTCTTTTTTAAAAGAGATAATACATAAATTACCCATCAACCTTGTCCGGAAAAATCATTTACACACCTTAACTTTACTGACGACATATGTCCCCCCTATTCTTGTTTGGGGTGAATTTAAGACCACCCTAAATGGTGACGTGGCAAAGAGAGTAGCTTCACTCTCCCAATCTCGCGTGTAAGAGGGAAAAATTTTTACTGTGTGGGCCCCTTTTTCGTTTACTTCTTTTTTTCTTATTTTTTTCTCTTTTTGTTTTGTCTCTCCACCTTTTCTTCTTCCTCTCACAATTGCAAAAATCATTTTTTTTTAAAAAAAATATTTTTTTGTAAAAACATATTTGTAAAAATTGATTTTTTTTTTGTAATAACAGAATTTTTTTTTCAGTTTTTAATAAAATATTTTCGTTTTTTAAAAACTGAAAAAATATTTTCAACAAATTATTTTCGCTTTTGAAAAAAGTTTTTTTTCTTCATTTTTTCAGTTTTTTAAAGATTTTTTTTGCAAAAAATGGAAAAACAAACTTGTAAAAACTAATTTTTTTTTTGTAAAA